ACACACACACACACACACACACACACACACACACACACACACACACACACACACACACCCTGGGGAATTAATAGGGAAATACAGGTGGGTTTTCCTGAACATGCAGTTGCTATTTTTAACATCAAAATGATGCAGTGCTTGAGAGAAGTCCCTTTGCACTGACAACTTCTGCATCCTTTTTATAGTAGAGAAAGTCGAAAAGCAAGGAGAAAAAGTGGTATTTGCTAATGAAAGGGTAAATGGAATACAGTGGAGAGACATTAAAAGTTAAAACAATCATTAAATAATTAGATTAATATAGCAAAATCAAAAATGAAACAGGAGGGAAGGGGGCAGGGCACAACCTTTAAAAGAATGACATAGCCACAGTACATGACAACTAGTGAGAACCAACTGGATCCAAGATGGCAGAAGATTTGACTTTCAGTAGACCTTGAGCCTCATCATATGTTCATTGTAATACATTAGCATAAGCTAAATGACATACCCACCAGTGCCATGACAGTTTTGAGGTCAACCATAAAAGGTCAAAAAGTGGGCAGTGGCCCAATTCCTGGAAATCCCCACCCCTTCTCCAAAATAGTTGGAATAATCCTACTCATTAGCCTATGAAATTATCCAGCCCTTTAAAAACTAACCACCACATATTTCAAGGCCTCTTGCTTCTTGCCTTCCTAGATGGCCCACACTCTGTCTGTGGAGTGTGTTTCCCTCAAGGCTTCTCGCCTTCTGAGATGGCCCACGCTCTGTCTATGGTGTCTCTAAATAAATCCACTTTTTACCTATCACTTCATCTCTGAATTCTTTCGCGAGGAGGAAAGAACCTTAAATTCACCGGCAACAAAAGTACTCTCCTCATATCTTTATTCTTTACTCTTTCTTGGTGCATGGTGCAGATACTACTTAATCCTTACAGTATTACAGTATGGATGCAATTACCCCTCAAAGAAGCATAAGGAGCTCTTCTAAGTTAAAACTGCCAGGAATTTGAATCCAGTTCATTTTGACTCAAATGCTGAGTTACTGTTATCCTCACTTTATAGAAAATATTGAAGCATAGAAAGGTGATTTACTCAAATTCAATCTGTGAGAAATCTAGGTTTTCTAACACTCCAGTATTTAATTTTTATTATTTTTCAGCTAAATCACTAAAATGTTATTTCAAACTTACATAATTAACAATAAATTAAAATAAGCTAGAAAAGTCTTTTCTTTTTTTCATGTAGCCAGTCCTTAGTTTCTTCATAAGGAGCCATGTTCATTAAAAATTTAATACATTTCTTCTGATTAACATAACGATGAAAGTTTGTGGTAGAGGGGGAATGCCTTGACCAGAATAATCACCAAATTTGGATATCAATAGGAAATGCAAGTAAAACTTATAGGCTTGGTCTTAACATTTCTGTTTAAACTTTTCAAGCTAGGTTCTGTTTTCAAATTTGCACAAAATTTTTAAACAGAAAAAGTTCCTTTGGAAGGTAATATTTATCTTTGCAGTTCAGGAATATCTTATTTCCAGCAGAAACTAAGATAGTCTGATTTGTTTATACTGCCTCTAAACTTAGAGCTGAAAGATGAAAACAAAAGTAATTCATTTAAACTTTCTTAAAAATTAGCTAACAAAAACTTTTCAGACTATTCAGTTATGAGCATAGATCATATTTTTAGGTCTATCTTATTGTAAAATTAAAAAAAAAAAAACCCTGCAGGAATCCAATTCAAAGATTCACTCTTGATAAGGGTATTTCATAGGGGAAAAGAATGGATATAGAGTATACAGCTAACGAAAATCAAAATGTAAAGTTATTTTTAGACTGAGACTTTCACCTGTTAGCAAGTGTGTGTTTCCTACAAGAAGTCTTAATCTTATTAAAGGTCCCCAGAAATTTAAGGGTTTTATCAAAAATGCTAAATCTCTTCCCAGAAGGAGGTTATGTAAACTGAAAAAATTTCTCTTTTAACGGATCTAATAAGGAGGCTCGAGATAAGGAAACTCAGAAAACTGAGTTTTGCGGAGGTTGTCCAAAGGCATGCAGTTTGGTGAGTTACAGGGATGGAGGAGAAAATGTTAGGGAACTGCTGACTGAAACCGCCCGCCTTGGCCAGTCATGGTAATAACCACTTGCGTAAGTTGTTTTACAACAGGAGGTCACGATAAGGAACACAGTGCTGCCGCTGAAAACTAACTTGGAGAATTCGGGAGAGGCCAAAAGGAGGGAGGAGATGTCAGCCCATAATATGTCCCACCAACCTCCCAGAAATCCTTGTGCTGGAAACCATCCTGTCTGAGAAATTCTCGCTCACTGTCAGGGAGGGCCTTGAATCAGGCTAAACATGGGCAGGGAGATGATTGGCCAGAGACAACCCGGAAAGTAACTCCAGTTCTCCTGGGTTCCCTTACCCTGCTATGCTCCACCTGGGTGCCCTTTCCCAATAAAGTCTTTTGCTTTGTCAGCACGTATTTCTCCTCAGACAATTCATTTCCAAGTGTTAGACAAGAGCCCACTCTCGGGCCCTGGAAGGGGTCCCCCTTTTGGTAACAACAGTAGTCCTCCTGGCTGCCATGCATAAGTTAGTAAGAGTGGAATGCATTGGTTCTAGAAAGATGCAGAGTAGATCCTTAAAAGCTGTACTTGTATGCAACACTTACAAATGCTTGATAAAGTATTTTTTAAAGCCCCTTTAAATGCACCATTGAGCCAGCAAGAAAGGGAAGGAAAACATGAGAAGCCAAAAAATGGAGAGCTAGGAATCCAGAAGGGCATTTGAGTGATGAAGATGGTGCTGCCCTAGGGACATTTACCTATCTCAGGAGGCCTTGTCAAACCTAGGTGACCTAGAGCTTCAATTTTAACACAACTTGTGACTTCTTACAAAACCTAGTGCAGAACAAGGTGAAAGTCAGGTCAGAGATTCCTACATAAAGCAGAGACTACTGAAAAGAAACATCTGCAGTGAAGAGGTGAACTAGAAAAAAGAAA